CGAACGGGGGGAGAAATATAGGGAAACTGAAAAGATAAGTAAGACTGCCAAATATTATGTTGTTTGTCTTACCGACCAAAGAAAACTAATGAACGGATTTAGGTATATTAAAGAATTATTATCACAAGGTCATAATTTTAACATGTATGAAACTTTTGAAAAACTGAAAGCAAATAGTATTAAAGTTTATGCGGTGAAAACCGATGCCTTTCATATTGCAAAGAAAGATGTAAGGAAGGCAAAGAAGTTGTTAGATTTTCATAATGATATTGGAGGTTGGAGAGTAGAAAATAATAAAGTCTATGAACTGGAAACTGATTACAATTGGACATTTAATGAGTTAGTAAAAATACCAACTTTTCAGAATGAAACAATACCAATTGAAGATGAGTGGGATGTTGAAAGCATCTGTAATAAGATTGTTGAAAAAAGAAGAGTTATGATTAGAGCAAAATTTGCTGGGAGCGGTAAAAGTTTTATAGGCAAGTATATGGAAAATTTAGGACACAATACACTTTTTGTAGTGCCTCAAAATATGTTAAAACAAGAGATTGAATGCGAAGCGGTGACAGTAAATACATTCTTTAGTATTCCAGTTGATAAAGGGGATGACCTACCAAAGTTTGATTATTCAGATTTTCAATGTATAGTGTTTGATGAGATTTATATGTCCAGTCCTTACATATTGAACAAAATAAGGGTGTTTGCAAATAACAATCCTGACATCGTAATTATAGGTGCCGGTGATGTCAAGCAACTGCCACCGATTGAACCTTTCACTAATACTCAAAACGCAGGCGAATACATTGACAAATGTATTGACATTATTTTTAAATATAATATATTTTTAAAGATATGTAAGCGAGTAGGTGGTAAGGATACAGAAGAAGGAGAAAGAAACAGAAAGAAACTGAATGAAATCTATGATGACTTTTGGATTAAAAAGATGGCAGTTGAAGAATGGATAGTTAAGCATTTCAAATTTACTAAAGATGTTATGAATAGTGAAAACAACATAGCATATACAAATATTAGATGTGAGGCAGTATCCAATGAGATTAGAAAAAGATTAGGTAAAACATGCAAATATGAAATTGGAGAAATCTTAATATGCAGACTTTACAAAAAGGACAAGGAAGGAAAACTGAATGTTAATATTAGGTGGAAGGTTGTTAATAACGAAGGATACAAGATAACAATACAAGATATCAAGGATGCAGAGAACATTAGAACACTTGACATTGATATTGTAGATAAGCATTTTAGATATGCCTACTGTGCTACCACTCATAGCAGACAGGGGACATCAATCAGTGATAATATGACCATTCACGAATGGAACAAAGATTATTTAGTTTGTAGGGAATGGTTGTGGACGAGTATCACACGAGCGAGGGATTTTAACAATGTCTATTTTTACAAGAACAAAGAGGGAGATGAAGATATGTTTAAGAGTTTGGTAATCAACTATTTTAAAAACAAAGTTGAAGGATATAAACAGCAAGATAGAGTAGCAAAAAGAGAAATAGACGAAGAGCAATACATTGACGAAAACTGGTGCTTAAAATACTTCAAATCCTGTTGCCAAAACTGCGGAATTAAATTTAATCTAGATACAAGAGGAGGAAAAATAAGTTCTAACTTCACTGCTCAACGTTGTGATAATGAGTTATGCCACACAGTTGAAAACTGCACCGCCTTTTGTGTCTATTGCAATTGCAGCGCGTCATGAATAATTTTGAAAATGAGTTTTTCAAAATTATTTTATTAACTTAATTAATGAGTTCAACACAAGAAATTATCAAGAGTGTATATTATGATAGAAGCGGTTATGGTTCAAAACAAACAACCCTCAAGGATGCTAAGCAAAAAGATAGTAGTATTACAATAAACGATATTAATGAATTCTTTAGTAAGAATGTAGAAGAAAAAAGAAAGATGAGAGGTGAAAATAGTTTTATTGCTCCGCATAGTTTCTGGGAATTTCAAGTTGATATGTTTTTCATTTCTAAAAATGATTTGGAAAATCAAACATTTAAAATTGGTATGATATGCATTGATATATTTAGCAAATATATGCATATCGTGCCTATCAAGTCAAAGCAACCGCCAGACATTTTAGCAGGGTTGATGGAGAACCTAAATAAAATGGGCGGGAAGTGTAAATTAATTTATACCGACGAGGAAGGCAGTTTTTTTAATCAATCAGTATTAGATTATTTGAAGGAGGAGAAAATTGAATTACATAGAACTAGAGGTCATCCAGCATTTGCGGAGCGTGGAATTCAGACTTTTAAAGATCAACTGTTTAAACGAGTTGAAGCGGACAAGAAAAATGGAAAGCAGAATATCCAATGGACGGATTATATTTTTGAAATATTATTAACTTACAATAATAAGATGGTGCATTCTGAAGCAATTAGGTAAAAATGAATATTACAATGCAAGCAAGAAATACTAGAAAATACCCTGAGTTGTCAGTGGGTAGTAATGTAAAAATAATGAGGAAGAAAGGCATAAGCGAAAAGGCACATACCAGTCATTGGTTAAAAGAAGTATTTAAAGTAAAATCAATTGATAGTAAATTAGGGCAATCTTACTTTCATTTGGAAGGAAAAACTAGTCCTTATTTGAGACACGAATTATTGAAAGTTTAATATTAAACGAAATACAGTTAAAGAAAAAACGCCTTATAATATTAGTGAAATGTTGTTTAACTATAACAAGTGCGAATGCTGTAAATGCAAAATGAATGATTTGAGTTTAACCTTGCATCATATACTACCAGCAAATGTATGTAATAAAATAAGTGAATATAATGTATACTGCAATCAATGCTGTATAACAAGAGACCTTGAAAAGTTTTTTGTTGAAGAACATAAGGATAAGGGATATACAAAGTTTCAATTACAATTAAAATTCTTTATGCGACACCAAGCAAGATTTCCTATACACTTTTACCAGAAGATTTCCAGAAAGTCATATGAAAATGAAATTGATGAATTCTTTAGTAATATAGATTTAATTAGGAGGTTTGGAGGAATAAACGCAATTAAACCATACAAAGCATTTGTCAAAAAATACCGTTATTTGTTTGAATGGATTGACTGGCATTTATTAGACAAAGATAAAATAAACGAAGTCTTGAACGAATTTAGAGCAACTAAAAATAGTATATGGTATTACTACAACACTAAATATAAAGTATGTCTATTGTTGTATTTATTCTTTTGGGAATATATTTATTCAATAATAGGAAAAGACAATATCAAATATATATACATTGGTGATATAGATAAATATGTAGATTACATATTTGAAGACATATTGCCTGACCATTATTTTAATCCATAAACCTTACAATAAAAAACATTGTAAGATTTATGATTTCAAAATGACTTGAAGAAATAATAACTTAATATATTATAGCGGAATGAGTGATACAGTCGGTATCAATGCTAAAGATATATTGAAAAACAAGTTTATGAGTTATAAATGTAAAGACTGTGAAATGCTCAAATTACCAATTGAACGGGGTTTTGCAAATGGTGTTTGTAATAATATTTGTCAATATATAATATGCAATAATTGCAATAGAATTATAAAAAAAAATGATGATATGAATAACAAGGATATTGATATTATAAATAATGAAACTATTGATGATGATTTAGAAATATTTGTATTTATTGAAATGAATAATTTCTTAACTATAGAAGGATTTGATAATTTATTAGAATGTAACGACGAAGGATATAATAATGATTTTATTTTTAAGTATTATAGTATTGTAAAACAATTATACAATATGTCTTTTAATATTAAACGTTTAAAATATGTTGTATTGTTTGATTTTTTAAATGAGTTTTTAAATGATGAGTATAAAACTCACGAACTTAGATATACAATAAAACGTGCGATTGGAATAATGGGAATGTTTAGAAAACAAATAAAAAATAATTTTTATAATGAAACAACATGTGACAAAATAATAGAAAGAATTAAATTAATAATTTAGTTTTAGGCGAAATAGTCCTAAAGAAAAAACACCTTATATTAATAGTGAAGAAATGAACGGTATTGAAATCAATAAGTATATTAATAAGAAATGCTATGATTGTTGCCACTTTAAAAAGGAAAATATGGAATTGTATAAATTAAATTTACCTAATGGAATAATAAATAATATTATTGATTATGCTTTGGGTGAAGAAGATTTATGTAGAACTTGTAGAAGATGGAGACGATATCAAAATATAATAGAACATATTTTGGAGATTAAAAAATAGATGAAAGAAATGTAGAAGATGATATTTTGATATTTTTAACTGTAAATAAATTACCACCTTACGTTTATGTTAAACAGTTTCTTAAAATCAGTAAGAAAAAATATGAAATGATTTATGATATATTAAGGATGTTGTGTTATAGTCAAAAGAAAGGAGAAGATATTAAAGAATATATCAAATTTTATATTGAAATTTATAAAAAGATTAATGTTAAAAATACAGTGAGAGATATTAATATTATTTTTAAAATGATGTATGACATAAGTGAGATTTGTCAATTAAATTATTACCCTGAACTGAAATTATAAATTAACCCATAAACCTTACAATAAAAATCATTGTAAGATTTATGATTTGGATTTATGGGGATTTTATATTTTGGGATTTTGGGAAAATAGATTTTGGGAATTTGGGATTTTGGAAAAATATATTTTGGGAATTTGGAAAAATATATTTTGGGATTTTGGGAATTTGGGATTTAGGTGGTAAAATTGGTTGAGGTGGCGTGCCCCTGTTGGTTAATATGGTTGAAGTGGTTGACTGAGGGGATTTTATCTGAACTGGGGCATGCCCTTTGGTAGGTAAAAGTACGTGGCCCAGGGACTGGTACATATATATACACGTACATGTGCCTGCCTATGTGAATGATTTTTGGTATGTACCTCCCACACAGGCAGAGCCCGTCCTGGTGGCCTTGCTGTGAGGCGACAATCAACGCTGTGCTGCCCTCATCGTCTGCCCTATCCTGCAGGGGAAGAAGCACATGCCCACTTCAGGTTGCGAGAAGAAGGGCTGTACTAATGCAACCAATCCCTTGGTGAAACGGGAAATCAAAATGCTTGTTTCTAAAGGTTGATGCCAGACATTGGTTTCAATCATGACCCACAAACCCCCTCGTCAGCTGGATCATTTTGTGAAAGGATGTTGGATGCCCGGAAAGCATGATAAGGTCACCTGGCAAACGATCTTGGATGAGGGCCAAATGTCCTCAACTTGGCAAGGAGATGTTGCATTCGCCCAGCCCTCCAGCCCTCCACAGCCTCTGGCTTCTGCCTTCGGGACCAAACTTGGCCGACAGGGTTCGGTTTTCAAGGCACGCCCTCCCGAGGCTCGCTGGCAAACGATGTGCGATCCATTTCAAGCGTGGAAAAACAGATCACCCAGAAACCTCAGGCGCGATCCGTCCGCCAAAGGCTATGGCTCAAATACATGTACCAAAATGGAACCTTGGCGGAACCAAAGACTAAATTCTGCGCAACCCTACACACAAAACCAGGCAGAAAAGGCATTTGCAGGATGTTTGGGAATGAGGGTCCTTGTCAGCACCTGCTTCCAGTAGGCGCCTGGTTACCGCCAAGTGCCCGTGCCCGGCCGCAGCGCAGAGGGGCGAAATCCCGTCGCAGTCCGCGTGGTCCTCGCGCGACGGAAGGTTAGAGGGTTCCGTTTTTCCTTTTTTTTCTCGATTGCCACTGGAAACAAAACCCAAGGGTCCCATTTGAAGTTTAGGAGCACATGACCCCTCGGGGCAATTGGGTAATCAAATGGAAACTTAAAAAGGCATATTCCGATGGAGAGCCAGAGCAAGGTGCCGCCAGCATAAGTGGTCACTTTTGTCCAATTGTCCCCTGTCCTTTTGGGGAAACCACATGATTTGTGTCCCCTTATGTGACTAGGGCCAGGGACCATGGCCTTCTCATGGCCCTTGCAATGGCGCTGTGGATGGCGGAAAAACTGCATTTGCTGCGGGGCCCCCCATTGAACATGACAAGCAGAAAAAACCAAGGCACCACAATGAAGCAAGGAGGCTTGGGCATCAACAAATTTGAACCAGCCAACAAAAGACCTGGGCGAAGTTACTTCATCCCGCCAATCGTGGCTGTTTTGCCTGGTAAAGGAGACTGAGAAGACCAGAACCACCCACAGTGCAAATCACCGATGCCTGATTGGGTGTGCCCCCCCGAAGTTCATTTTATACTCCAAAAGGTTTTACACCACCTCCCACCCCAGACCCCAACACCCCAACACCCCAACACCCCAACACCCCAGGCCCCCGGGCCCCCAGGCCCCGCGGCCTGGTCAGCACCGGCGTCCAAGAGGCTGCAAAGCACTGCCTCGTGGCCCCGCACCGCAGCGGCCATCAGAGGCGTGTTCCCATCGCCGTCCACCTCCCATGGACTCGAAGCCGCCCGTCGAAGGGGTTGACGGCTGCCGAAATATGCGAAAAGCGCAACTCATTCGCAAGCGATCGGAACCCGGAAGAGACTCTGTTTAGGGGCCCCCCGAATAAACTCCTATCCACTTCACATGGAACCTGACTGCGTCCCAGAACAAGAGGTCTCGGTTGGGTTCCGGGTGGCCAGACATCATATGACTATGTGTCTCCAAATGGATGCGTCTTGTGAGACTAGATGCCGCTTCTTTGCAGGGGAGGGTGTTTCAGGCAAATGAGAAACATCCAAACTGGAAAAGCCCCAAAACTTGTGGTTTCGTTTCCCTTGAAACCAAAGCCATGTTTTTGCTGACCACCCTCCAAACAGCTTGCGTCACTCAAACAACAATGTACAGCGGACAAGGTTGTGGGAATGGCCACTAGGAGAATGGCCTTCCCATTGACAAATTGTTTCAATCCAGGAGGGCAACAGTTCCTGGTATCACAGAAGTGGTTAACAAATATCCTTTCCTCATTCCTGTCTACTTGAGTTGCAAGGGGTATAGAAGTCCAGGCAAAAAAAAACATGAGTCAACCGGACTTAACCGTTTTCCAACAATCAGGGAGGTGGATGATCAGAGGGTGTTGGAAGACTATTCTCCTCTGGAGAAAGGCCCCTCCCCTCCCATGGTTGGAAATTCAGGTGAACCAGTTACAACATGAGGGTCTGTCTCAAAACGGGGGACCGCCAAAAACGGTTGATTTCCCTGAAAACGGGTCCCCCGGAAAAAAGACACGCCCAGAAAAGGGCCAAGCGGGTACACCAGGGTTGAGGAAAATAACCTTTCTTCCTTCAAGGAAAAAAAAGGAGCACGGTGATCCATGTCGCCCCAAAAAGCTCCCTAAAACTGGGGATCCGCGTCACCCATCCACCAAATGGGGTCAAAACACGGGCGCCTTCTCCTTGTCGGCTTTGGCATCCAATAACCAGCGGACCACTTTGGCGTCCGCGTTGATGGCCGCCGCCATCAGCGGCGTGAGCCCCGCGAAGTCTGCCTGGTCAGCGAAGGCGCGGGCCTCCGGGCCGGGCGAGAACCGGGTTTCGGACGGAGGTGCCGTGCGGGACGTCGGGGAGGCGACGCGGAAACTCGGAGAAGCCATGGGCGGCCCTTTGGCTTTCCCATCTCGGAAAAACCCTGAAGAAAGGTACCTGCCTGTCACAATTCCATCACCAGAGGTAGAATCTTGTTTGGTCCAACTCTGAGGTGATTCTGATCCATACTTAGTCAACCTTTAAAATGTATAAATATGTTGGAGGAGACCCCAGTTTAAGGGGAAATCACAGCAGCCAAGGCATCCTAAACGGGTTCATTATCTAATGAACGGGCTCCAGCGTTCTGAAGACAATCAAGTGTTTTCAATATCCGACTCATTCAGGACCCAACGGGTGACCCAAAGGGTCCCAGATCATTGGAGGAGCGTCCCTTTTTACGGCCCCAGCTTGAGGGTACAACAGAGATCACTGGATGCTCCCTTCAACTGCCGCATTTTACAGGGGGGTTTACTGAAATTGCCACACAGGGCAGTTGCTAAATCGCCTCCAGCAGGCACTCCACCACCGGCAGGTGCCCGTTGATCACCGACGCCAACAGCGGACCCCGGCCCTGCAGCGTTGGGGGGGACCGATTTTTGTTTTTTGTTGGGGGGGGGGTGGCCCCTTTGCTGGGGAAGGAAGTAGACTTGGGGGGGGGGGGTGGCCCCTTTGCAGGGGAAGGAAGTAGATTACCAAAACCAAGCAAACACAAACAAAAGGAAGCAAAACCAAAGCTTGCCCAACACCTAACCAAGACCAATGCCGGACATAAACAAAAACCAAACCAAAACCAAGCCAAACTTACGACAGCACTAAACCAACACCAAAACCAAACCAAAGCAATACCCAACCAAATCAAAACGAATCCAAACGCAAGAACCAAATCCAACACCAAAATCAAGCAAGACCAAGTGCAAAACCAAACCGAAGCTCAACAAACCAAGCCTAACCAAGACCAATAACAGGAAAACACAACCAACGTCCAAGCCAGTGAGTTTGTGCGAGTTATTTGGGGGGTATTTGAAACCATTGCATCCACTTCCAATCGAGCGGACTGGTCAAAAAAAGTTCAGACTTGCTGTACATCACTGAAATGATCAAGTCCAGAAGCTGGGAAGCGAGAAAACCAAAACCAGGTGGCCAAAACCATACCTCAAACAAAAGGAAAAGGAAAACGGAAGGGCCGAACACGAATTATCTACCCTTGTGTGTGTGTGTGGTCATTGCTTTGATGTTCGGACCCGAAACCAAAACAAACTAGGCCAAAGTTCAAAGACCCTGGCCCATATCTACTGCGGTGAGCTTTGACATGCAAAATAAATGCTCCAAATCCCAGAAACCAAAACCAAAACCGAAACCGGCTCTTCCTGCCTTGTTGGTCTCAAGCTTTGCCGCATCCGCTTTGGCTTCCAGCAGGTAAGACACCACCTCCCTGTGCCCCAAGGAGGCTGCCGCGAAGAGCGGCGTGATGCCTTCAACCGACGGCTCCGGTTGGGTGAGGTGGGCACACCCATTTGGGCTCTCGAAATAGGAATCGGAGCCCCAAAATGATGACTGCTCCTGTGGTTTCCCTTTAGAACCACACCAAAAAGCGTGCCAACTCCAGAAAAACATCCAAAATGGGTTCACACGTCTTCCCCTTGACTTACCCACAAGGGAATCTACTTTCTCCTTGAGCCCCAAACCCGCAACTTTTGTTCAGATCTCACTGTTGCCGTTCCCCCTTGGAAGTGGCCATGTAACATACCCCTTGGAGAACAAAAAAATCATGACCCCATTCAGAGGCAGAACAGGAGGCGTCTAAAGGGGTTTAAAGGGGTTTGGAAATAAAAAGATAATAGTGGCTTAAGCATGTCAAGAAACAGACTGCGACGGGGGACGAGACTGCTCACCAAGAGGAAGCGTTGCCAACTGGCAAACACGGCTCTGTGTCTGCTGCATTGGAAGGCAGGGAGGCTCCAAATCGGGGTCTCATAAACTGGTGAGGAAACCCTCAAATGCGGTGCCTTCATTGCCCAAAAACACGGGTGGGGGTCAAAAGGTCTAGCCTGCGCTAAGTCGTTTCGCTCAGATGCCATCGTTGTCCGCCTGGTCGGTGTTGGCGCCCACTTGCAGCAAGCAGCTGACGGCTGCCTGGCGGTCGTTGGCGGCAGCCACAAATAAGGCCGTGCGCTCGTCGTCGCAGGCCTGGTTCTTGTCAGTGCCAGCATCCTGGGCAAAAACCGCCCCCCCCCCCCCTACATGCCACGGGTTTGCCCCCATGTCCTTTCACTGAAAAGACACATGCAACTGAAATGCGGTCGCCGCCCCGCACCCCGAGGTCTCGTCACCGAATTGAAGGGAAAAAACGCGACGAGCATCCAGCAAGCACCGGACTACATCCGCATGGCCGTTGTTGGCCCCGGCGGTTAAGGCGGTGAAGCCTTGGACATTCCGCGCGTTTTGGTCAGCTTTGGCCGACAACAAGCAGCAGACCACCAGCATCCGATCGTTGATGACAGCCGCCAGCAGAGGCCTTGAGTCGTGGCTTAGAAAAATCCAGAACAACCACCGGAATATCCTTTGCAGCTTACCATGCAAACCAACCATCATGTACAGAGGAATCTTTTTTGGGGAACCCCTTTTTGGGGTTCCATACTAATTTGCAAGGGACAACCACCGGCGACTCGACAAAGCCGGCGCCTGAGCCGAAAAGAATTCGGCGACCCGCCAAGCTGAAGGGGGTCTACAAACAAATTGTATTCAAAGACTGTGAATGCGTAAGATGTACGCCAGGCACCAGTTGGTAGGCGGTTTATTGGTACAGGATTTGGTCTCTCCAGTAGTATTAAGAGAAGTCACCCAAAACCCATGATGAAGGCTCAGAAGGGCAGGCACTTACGGCAAGGGCTGGACCTTTGTCGAGGGGAATCGTTGGAGAAATCGGGTCGGACCTGCGATCCGTACATTCCCCCTTCCTCGCACATGAAAACCAGCGTTGACCCACAACTGGTTCGCCAAAAGGCTTGTCAAAAATATTGCCCCATTTGAGACCCTGGTGCCGCGTTGTGCAACCTTTAAAAGGGGATGCCACAAGCACCCCCAATTTTGACAACGCCCCGACAGAGATGCCTGAGGATTCCTCAGCGTAAGACACTCAAGGTGCGGATCCTCATTCCCTCAGCTTCCCTGCCAAGCTGCGTGTTGCCGTCGTTGTCGTGCTTGTCCTCGCCCGGTTCAAAGACACCACACAGAAACCTGGACCCTTTGGTTGATCAGAAATACGTTGGGAAGTGTTGTCCACCAAAAGGGTGTTCCAGCCATTCGAGCTCAAGTTGGCCTGGGTTCTTCCAGTTTATCCATTGGGAGCTTGTGCTGGTGCTGGTGCTTGTAATTGTGCTTCTGCTTGTGCTTGTGGATTGCACTTGAGGGCCAGCTTAGCGCTTTTAGCATGCAGTCTGAGGTTGCTGATGCTCTCAAAGTTGTGCTGATGGGCCTTGGGAGTTGCAAAAACTCACGGGGAAAGGTATCTGTCGGCGTCCAAACTTTTGTGCTTGTGCATGTGCGAGTGCTTGTCCGTGTATTTGTGCTTGTGTTTGTGCGTGTGCTTATGCTTGTGTGTGCGCTTGCGCTTGTGCTTGTGCTTGTGTGTGTGTGTGGGGGTGTGTGCTTCCGCTCGTGCGTTTGTGCTTGTGCTTGTGCTTGTGCCTGTGGTTGTTCTTTTTGTGCTTGCGCTTGGGCTGGTGTCTGTGCTTGTGATTGTGCTTGTGCGTGTGCTTGTGCAACTGCTTGTGCTTGTGCGTGTGTGCTTGTGCGTGAGCGCTTGGCGTGTGCTCGCGAGCGGGCCGGCGGGCATGCGGGCATGTGTGGGTGTGTGTGTGTGTGTGCGCGCGCGTGTCTGCTTGTGCGTGTACGTGTAGGGGTGCCGGATTGCGTGCGGGTGCATTTGCGAGTGCGGGTGCGGGTGCAGGTGCGGGTGCAGGTGCGGGTGCGGGTGGGTCAGTGGGTGGGTGTTTGTGTGTGTGTGTGTGGGTCTGTGGTGTGTCCCCCTTTGTTGGCGTGTTGTTAAAGGGAACTCATTTTGGGAGTCCAAAAGAGCCCCTTGCTAGCCCGTCCTTGTTGGCGCCGGCCTCCAACAAGCACTCCACCACCGCGCGGTGCCCATTGGCCGCGGCAGCACACAGAGGTGTCAACCCGTCTGTGTCCGCCCGGTCCTGGCGGAAAATACACGTCAGCCTTGGTGGGTGGCAGGTGGGGCGGGTTGTTTTTGTGTGGGTGCATGTATGTATATGTGTACGTATTTGCGTATCTGTGTGTGTGTGTGTGTTCATATGCGTATATGTGCGTATGTGTATATGGGTGTATGTGTAGGTGTATCTGCGTCGGTGTATGCGTACACGTATATATGTATACGCATATGCACATATGTATATCATATGTACATGTTTAGGCGTGTGCGTGTATGTATATATATATATGTATATATATATATATACATACACATATATATATATATATATATATATGTACATACGCATACGATGAATATGCGTGTATGACCAGTATGACAATATGTACAGCATACAGTTTGTGTATAAATGTGTATGTATAGCCATAGCTTGGGCAAAAAAGGAGTGTGCCTTTGACAAGTGTCTATCGAAATATGGGATTGCCCGCCCATAGACAAACATGCCTTGGTGTACAGGAACTCTGTCCAAAAGCAAATAGTCTTCCAAACGGGTGCAAGACCCCGTGTTTGGTGGGAGGGTACACCCTTGGGAAATAGCCTACAAAATTCCCAATGGACGAAATCCTGAGGGGGGGGTCCCCCCCCCAAAGTGGGACAAGCAAACCTCCCTGCAGAACCTCATATGTGGGGAGGCCAGTGCGCAAGGGGTAGGGTTGGGGGGTTTAGGCTTTACATATACATATATATATATATACACATCACATATTCAGAATCCTATGCTGGTCAGCAGCTCAAAGTCATGTTGGAAACCCAACCAGGCAAAAAGGACCTTGCAGAGCAGCTAAGTCGCTGCCAGGACTTCAGTTGTCCTAAACGGACCTGCACTGGGGTCCTTGGAGCTCTTGCGGCTTCCCAGAAAGGCTGGTGACACAACTCTTCCTTCAACCGAATCCTTTCGAGTTCCCGAAAAATCGAATTGAACTAGGCCTCAGAAGCAGTGGGCTCGGGTCCAAAACGCATATTAAGCCTCTTCTTGAAGGGGGTCGAGTCGAAAATGGAAGCGCTTTTATCGGGTGAAGCACCCTTGCGGTTGGGCTTGAAAGGCGACCCAAAATCTTGCTGGCTCTCAGTAGGGAATGAGGCAATGACCCCTACGAACTGTCCCAGTGGTTTGCTTTGAGGCCATCCCTGGGGTTCTTCCCAAAACCCTTGTGATTCCCTCAGCAAATCCCCAACACAAGCACTTTCATCATGGGTGTTCGCTCATTTCCCCCACTTCCCGCCCAAAAACAGAAACAAGCCGATTCGCGTCTGAGGATCCCTCTTTTCGGTCAGTCCTTGTCGGCTTTGGCTTTGAGGAGCACTTTCACCACAGACACGTGGTCGTGAAATGCTGCCATGAAGAGCGCGGTCACGCCCTGGAGGTCTTCCTTCTCCTCGAGTTGAGCTGTTAAAAACCCCTCCAAATGCCCACCAAATGGGAAGACACGCACGAAACCCCCCTTAAACCACATAAGAATGTGTTCTCTCCTTGCGCTCTGAAAAACACGCTTTTTTGGGACCAGGCGGCTCCCCCGAAACCAAGACTTGGAAAACTGGGGCCCCGGTTCGGTTGGTATCCCCTGCAACAAAAATCACATGGAACCCCTCTTGCGGGGGTCGCGCAAACGGAAAACCCAGCGGAAAACCACCACTGTGCAGTTCCACCTGGTTTGAAACAGACGCGTCTTGCCCGAGTCTTCAACCCCCATTCCAATGGTTGACCCAGTTTAGATGATGAAACTCCTTAGGCAAACATTGGTGGCTATGCTACCCCCCACCCCATTGTTTTCATGGCTATAATCGGCTGACCCATGCAAACGCGGCGAGCTGGGATGGCTTCGCCATCAGGCCTGATTCGGGCACCGTTTGATGGGTATCCTGTTCGTTGGGACTTATGTCCACCAACCTTGGAGAGCTATGCAAATTTCATTCCATCCATAGCCAAGGCTTGGGAGGTCAAAAATACCAAAGGCGTCCCCACAGAAATTGAGAGAGTCTCCTGGTTGTGATTGAGATTAAGTGAGCTCTCCCACGTCCTTTTTGGGACAGTAGTTTTGACCAAACCTCACGTCTCCGAAAGCAAGTTCAAAGGGACACGGTAAAGATGTGAAAGTCCCCGCGTCTTTCTTGGTTGCAACCTCAGTGTTCTGTTCCGGAGCCTGACTTGCATTGCGTGCGCTCTGCCACTTTCCAAGGCAAATCCACACAACCAGAGTGCCGAGCCGGGAAGTGCGAGCCTTGGCTGCCTGGGCATCAACCAAAAAGTTGAAGGTTACAGATTAAATAGCAGCCAAGAGTACTGCTTGTGCAATACGCAATAGATACATGTTCTACAATTTGCTTCAGTTTGGTCGCCGATTGTGAAACCTATCTCCCGAAAATGTCCACCCAGAATGCCCCGACTGGGGCCCACCCCAACCCCGACCGCTGACCAAATCGCATCGCGCCTGATCGGCCCCGGCCTCCAAGAGGCACTCCACTACTGCTGCCTCGTGAACCCCCGCCCCTTTCTCCCCAGGGAGCGGCCCGCGCCTGAGCGGCCCCTTTCGCTCCAGTACTCATTTATATCAGCTTCCCTCTCATTGATGGTTTGGATTGGTGGTTTGGAGGTTGGGGGGTTGGTTCCTAGATACACTCTACAAGAACCAGGAAGGGCAACCTGCATTGAGAGCCGGCTCGTAGGGGCAAGGGAAGGTTCTGACCCTTACTGGTCCTTAAGGGGCCTGATTTCCTATTAGTCACTGGTCACTGTTCGGCCGCAATAGCTCCCTGGCTCTGAAGCAATCATTGTCGCCTTGAGGAAATATGCGTGCGTTGGTCGGAGAAAGCAAACAAAGTCTCCCGTAGTTTACGCACGCAAAACCCCGACCCAGCCACGAAACAAGACCCAAACAAATGCCAGGAGGCACAACATGAAAGCCGGAGAAGAAGAAAAAAAAAGGCAAGAAAAAACTGCGCGAGAAGAAGCAACAAACAAAAGGCGCAAAAAAAGAGCATACAAAACAAAAAGCATAAAAAAAAAACAAAAAGCATGCAAAACAAAAAGCACAAAAGGGAAAAATAAATAAAAACAATAAAAACATCGAAGAACAAAAAAGAAAGGCACAACCACCCCCCTCCCCTTCAAAAAAACAAGGAAAAATGCAAACGACACTAAACACGGGGGCAACCCATCCATGCGCCCAGTGGCTTTTCCATGTGCCGCCGCCAAATGCAGCGGCAAGCTGCGGGGCCCTGCGGCAAGCAGCGCGTTGGGGTCACAGGGCCCATCCAGGACCTCGCAGCGCGGGTGCCCGGCAGGTTTGGGGCGATAACCGTCTCGTCTGAGTGGCTTCTCGGGGGCCCAGTTCCGGTCAACTGCTGTCCCAAGAAAGGGAACCAACCAGTAAAAGGCCGAAATCATGATGGTGTACCCTTTGATCGGTGGGCTCATTTTAACGTCCCAATTTTGGGAGGGTCCTCTTGACATCTGATATGGCACCCTAAAGGAATCTTTGGGAAATATCAATGTCCTATAGGTCAATGATTAGAACCCACCCAAACCTTTGGAATCCATCTATGCTCAACCACACAAAACTCGTTCCAGCACACCTATGGGGGACACCTATATCACCTATGAAGGACACCAGAGGACCTATGAAAGAACGCTTAAGCGTAAGAAAGGACACTGCGACCTACAAAGGACAAATCATTGGGTTGGGTGACCCGTTGAATGGGTTCCAACCAATCGATTCTTCTCGAATTTTCGGAACACACAAAACCCGTCGTTCGGGGCTCCCTATATGTCCACCTTAAGGCAACTCACAATGTCTGCGCAACCAAAAAGGTGATGTCGACCCAGCACTGTGCATGGACGAAATCCTGCGCCACCTAAGAAATTCTTGGAATGCTCCGATGCCCCTGTAAGTACCAACCAACGTTGCGGTTTCAATCGGATTTCGCAACCATCCACCCCAGGGAGCCCGGTCCCACTGCCGACCGGCCTTAGCAATGGCCTCCAGGTCACCATCGTGAAGGGCGCGCGCGAAGTGAGCCAGGCCCGGCGCCTGCGCGTCGCTGTGTCTTTTGTTGAGGGTATGTTTTGGGGTCCCGGATTTTCAGACACACCCATGCATTTGTTGCAGAGCATTCACGCACCTGGTGGCCAAAACGGCCAAAACGGGACGCGCACACCTCCCACCCTGACCCCTCCGTACACTTTGGCCCTTCACGGGTGATCCTGTTGGAACACTTCCATCCGAGACCGGCTTTACCGTGAGGGTGCGTCTGCTTTTGAAGGACACTTTTCGGGGTTAATTTAAAGACAAACCAAACCGAAGCCAATTTTAATTTTGGGGGGTCCTTATCTTGAGACACAACCATGAATCCACCAAGTGGGAAGATGAAATCTTCGGGCTCCTCATAGGTCCCCTTCAAAAAAATGTTTGCGTCTTTCGCGACCCCCTCTCAAAGGCATCTTCATGCTGCTGAAAGCGGTTGGCTTCTTGTGCCCAACCCTTTTTTGCACCATGCAAACCTCCCACTACGCTCAACCGCCATCTCCCTTTCTCCCACTGGACAAAATCCAATGAACAACTCCTCTCCCCCTAACGCCCCCCAACCCAGTCCTTCTCTGTCCCCCCTTCCCCCCCTTCCCCCTCTTACCCCCTTCCCCCCCTTCCCCCCCTTCCCCCCCTTCCCCGCCCCACCTCGGCATACTGCATGGCCACCGCCACCAGCGCCTCCGCCTGCCACGGGCTCTGCGGCCCCAGCGCCTCCGCTGAAGCCGCCAGGCCGAGGCGCCGGAAGTTGAGGCCCAGGCGATGGGCCAAGCGCCGGCGCAGCGCGTCGAAGAAGCTCGCGCCCTGTTCAAAGTGGGGCTGGGGGTGGGGCTGGGGGTTGAGGGTGGTGGATGGGGGTGGGGGTGGGGCTGGGGGTTGGGCCGGTTGAGAGTGGTGGATGGAGGTGGGGCTGGTGCTAGGGCTTAGAGCTGTCCATCGATGTTCCAACGTGAAACCTGAAAGGACGCCTTGCCTACCCCACCCCCGAAAATGCGCGGTATCCCTTTGCTTTTGGATCCTCGCTGAAACCGACACCAAGAAGAGTGCGCTCCAAAAATGAGATAAAAATCACAGCGGCGCCTGGTCCCTCTGCTCGCTCTGCTCCTCCCACCACTCCGCAAACTCCTCCGCCGACATCAGCTCGGCGCCGCTTGGCAGGCGCACGCACGCCATGGCCGAGGAGGGCACGGCTTCAAGGAAGGACCATAAGTTGTGTGTTTGCTGTGTTTGCTGTGTTTGCTGTGTTTGCTGCGTGTCCCTTTGTTTTCTTTCAAAACAACTGCAAATGGTTGGCCATATGAGGGGCGTGTGACTAGGCTCGGGCCAACCCCTTGTTAAAACATGTTCAAACTGATTCAAACTGTTGTTGACATATTGGCTTTCCTTCTAAAGGGTCCAAATAACGAAAAACACCACTGTTCCATGGTTATGAGGTATGTTTGGTTTCTAGCATCCTACATTCCGGTTCTACTTTTTTTAAGGCCCTTATAGTGTCAGACCCGATGGTCGTCCGTATCTTAAGGGGGAGGGGGGAGGGGCCGCCAATTTCACTTTCACAGGGAACATTCATAACAGAGCTGAGTGATTTGAGGCCTCAGTGGCAGGCTTCGGGCAGTGCATCGCCGCCAACCAGAAGGCAAAGCGGCCTTCTCATTCTTAAGCAATCCATGGAAGGGGCGTACTGTTCTGCTTGCGGGGCAAGCGGCTAAGTTAGTGTGGAGATAGCCCAACCCTCTTCTGCTGCTAAACGGGAGCGGGCAGGCGGACCATGCTGTGCCCCCCGCAAAAAGGTGCACAAAAACACAAACCTATCTAGGCAAACCAGAATGACTCATCAAGAATGCGTCCGGGGCGGCTCAACTCGTCTCTCTGACAAGGAATCCTAGTGCAGATCTAGCAGCAGCTCGTCAATCAACCAGAAATGAATACATTAATTGGATCAACTGATTAATTACCCAGTTCAATACATGGATTAGTGGATCAATTGATTAATTATGTAATAAATCCTGGGTTCGCCTTAAAAACAAGTTCTGTCCTCTGTGCGAACCTCCACTCCTCCCCCATTTGCGCTGTCTGGCACCTCCGACACCGAGATCTGTCGAGACAACGCGAAGTTGAAGTTCAGACCTGGCGATGTGCATTGCCACATCTGCCGCAACGTGCTCGTCACCGAAACGTCGATCGCCCTCCGCCAACTCCCGGAGTTTCTATGAGTCTGTGACCTCCTTGAAAATGGGGTAGTGTACCCATGAAATTTGGTGTGATCCAACCCTCATCTTTTAGGGGTGATGTTGACTCCATGTTGACTCCATGTTGACTCCAGGCACCTCTGTTCAGCTAGCAAACACTGTTTTCGGTTGGTAAATCAGGATCAATGAGAAATGAGAGAACCGTGCCCAGAAACAAGAAACGAAAGGCATGATGGAGGGTGCCTTGGCGCAAACGATTGATGAGACAAGCAGGACAGAACTAGCCACCGTCCAGTCCTTTCGACTGCGAGAAACTAGAATGAAACACCGTTCCCGATATTTTCCCCTCGAAACATCACCCGACTCACAAATGAGTGTTCAGCTTAGGTTTCAGCTTGGGTTCCAAGAGGAAGTAAACAGAGATCCCTAGCTCGGAAACGCGCCATGGCAAAGCAACCTACCACTTGGGTCTTCTAAGCTGCTCAGTCTTGCACGACAATGTCAGTTGCGTAGAGTGCACCCCATCACTTTGACCGACAAAGACCGAAAGTTGACCACAAGCCACAAATTGGCGATTCGTGAAAGAAAGCCAACACTGTCGCCCCGCGTGTCCTGCTGACGGCCGTCGTTTTCCCATGCTCGACACGGAAAAACACGCGCGTGCGTGTGCTCGGCGCGTGGCGTACCGCGCGCCTCCATCTTGGCCAACCCCGGCGGTGGCCTGCCGGAAGCCAAGGGCTCCCCCCGCCCCAAGTGTTCATTTTTGGAATTTTCTTAGGTAGCGAGCACCTTTTGGGGGGGGGGGGTAAAGGGACCAGTACCGGCAATCTGGTCAGGCTTAATTTCGACAGAGAACATTGAAGTAATGATGGGCGCCCATGGTTGGAAGTGTACCGCGATGGCCTCACGTCGCGTGGGTATGATAGTACCAAAAAATGAGGGGAAGGGCATGCAGGGCAAGCCAAAAATATGTTTTATCGTTCTGTTCCATGTTCACCTACCCTAAAATACCCTCCCGATAGCCATCCCCGGCTGGATATGGGAACCCGAATTCTGCCGCAAAGCACTGCTGGCCAATTCGATGGCGCCGCAGAAAAGCAAGTCCGCGACTGCTCGAGCAATCCAAGCCCTTACTCGTCCAGAGGCGTGGCTGTTGATTTGAAAAGGAAACCCAGCCAAACAAAGGGACGCAGGTGGAAGCCACTGGACAACCGAGCACCCAACCTCCACCAAAACCTCGCCCTTCGTTTTTTTCTCCCTTTCGCCTGGGGCCGAATGCGGCACATGTTGTTCACCTCCGGCAGCCACCAGAGCGAGAACTTGGCCTGAGACTGGGCGTGCCAATCACACGGCCAGGGGAACCACCTTTTGCTGGGGGGTTGGTTGAATCTGAATGGCACTCCAGAAAGAAACCGGGAGAAGAAGGGGAATCCCGAATGCCGCGGGCTTTTGGCTTTCCGAAAGCTCCTTCCGAACCATTGAGAAGAACCAGTGACTAGAACCCTCAAAGCAGAACCCAAAAGTAATTCTTCGACCTGTAAAGATGCTGCCCTTTGCCCAATGGAACAAGACGATCCCTTGGTCAGTTGCGTTTCAAAGCCAGGATGGGACTGAGACAATAGACTCAGCCGGTCAGTGTGGTCCCAGCGTCCCACCAAATTCCTTGCGCTCCACTTGGGCGATTTGGATTGCTAGGCTCGCCTCAATGAGAACCAAACAGGGGCTTCCAACCCACCGATCCAAGCGACTGAAGTGATTCAGGATTGCTTGCATTCTGGTGGTGTGCCAAAGAAGCTGCTGGAGGCATGACCGGTCCAAAGACATCCCTTGGTTCAAACAGCGAGGGGTTGTCTCTGCAGTATGTGCTCACATGGGTTTTGCAGTTGAAATCCACCTAAGGCACAAAATCTTGGGATCGATTTACTGAAGTCAACGTGTGTAGCTGGCTCCTTGTCAAAAATGCAGGTGGAAATCCACACCAGGAACAAATAAAATCTGCTGAAATCCAAATACGGATGTCTATCCTGCCATCCACTACTTCCCACGCCAGATGGGCTCCTAGAGCCTGCTTAAAAGCACTTGGAGGTGTTGGTGTTTCCAGCGAAATATCCTCTAAGCTCAGTCATTGTTCAACCCCCTTTTTTTCTGTTGTTATATAGGTCTTGAAATGGGGGAACCTCCAAAAGGAACCACACCTTGACCCTGTAAGTGTTCAAGGTACCCATCCAACCCCATTGCCTCCGCCCACCTACCTCAGCTTTTGAAAAATGATGTGCCCATCCTACCCAAACGCTTGCCAAAACTACTGGTCTTGCCAAATTGCAGCCCGGTTTAGTGAGCATGCCATTCCACAGACCGGTCCCAAAACGGCAAAATCATGTTCTTGAGAAGTCCCACCCCACCCAATCGCCACCAACCCCACTCCCCCACCCCCCACCCAAAACCCCCCCCCCCCAAACCATCCCCGCTCCGAACACCACCCCTCAAATCTCAGCCATCCGCCTGCCTCCTTGAAGAAGTCATAAAACTCCGCCTTGGCGTCACCTCGGGCCTGCCTCGGGAGAAGCAGCAGCTCACTCAAGGTGCCAGCGCACAGATCAGTCCTGATGCATTCCAGGGTCCCTGAGAATCTGAATGAAGTCAAACTGATACCAGTAGACTCATCATCATCATCATCATCATCATCATCATCATCATCATCATCATCATCATCATCATCATCATCATCATCATCATCATCATCATCATCATCATCATCATCATCATCATCATCATCATGTGTTTGGTCGCCGGTGGCAGTATCCGTGATACCAGTAGACTCCATCTATGTTCGCCCAAAACCAGAAAGGACGCCTACTTTTGGACGCAAAGACGTCAGAGGAACTTCTGCGCCCTGCTGCAGCATGTAAGGAGACTCCTCTTGAAATGCGAATCAACCATCTGTCCAACTCGTTCTCACGCATCCAAATACTGTTCAGCCAACCAACCTGCGTTTCAACCGACAATGAGGAAACCCACAGCTCAAGCCCTCTCTCTCGTTGCTCTTGAGGCCTCCATGGCGCTATGATTCGGAGTCACGTCCATTTCCGTGGAAAATCCCTCGATCTCAAGTCGAAAACTGCAAACACTGCCGAGGCAATCTAGGCTTCTCGAATGTCATGAAACTGGGCCGCGCTGCGGGCCTCAAGCCAGACCCACACGACGCTCAAAAACAGGACAACGGTTTTTGCTTGAGGAGGAGCAACTGAAGTTCGTTGTTTGAGCTGCCTCAGGAAGTTCAGTGACCACATGACAAGCATGACAGCACAGGGTGTTAGTCGTTCCATATTGAACAAATGGGGTGGGGGTTCCGCAAACAAGTCACTCCAGCCAGAGTTATAATTTGTGATCACGGTCTGTACAAGTTATATCTTGGGCGTCCACAGTACTCACATGGGTGCATCTTTATATTGGAGACTCCGAAATTGGAAGTTGGGATTGCACATGAACATTCCGCTGATTTGGAACTGAGGCAAAGGCACGAAGAGCGACATGCCCACCACCCGCACGAACCTGGGCATGGTTTGATTGGGAACCCTTTGGTTTTATGTCCACCTACCTACTGGGAGGGCATCCCCAGCAGAATTCCTAGCCGTATGAGCCAAGTTGCCCCATCTAAGTGGCCAATTTGAATACAAGAAACTCCTGAACCACTTGATGTAAAAAGACGCGCGCACGCCAAAGACATAATAGATGACAAGGAGTTCGGCCGAGCACCCCTTTTGTTTTTTTGGAGCACCCCAACAAAGGGCCAAAATCATTTCAGAACGGGTCTGGGGCTGGCCATCCAAACAAAGTGATCTCAACAAGATCTCTTGCAGACTTGTTTGCCTGTGTCGGTCTTCAATCCACACTCATTGGTCTGTCAAAGGAAAAAGCAAAAAAAAAGCAGCGCCCGCAACCCACTGACTAAGCTGGTCATTTCGGCTTATGCAGGCATTTCCATTTCCCTTGTTTAAACATGTTTAGAACCACCTACGAATTGGGCACGAGACCTGGCAAAAAAATGGCAAACAGGCGCAGGTTGGCGTGCTTGGAAGGAGGTGTTTCTATGACAACAATGGGAGGGATGGGCTTTAAGCCTCAATTCGCATGTCGTCGCTCGTGGAATTGCCCTTTGTTCCCCAGTGGTCATAAGAGCTGGGTCCAATGTAGCCCTATTTCAGGATGGACCATATATCCCACCCAAATCATTGCGCCGTGTGAGGGAAAGGCCTTTGAATGGCCATGGCACCACCAAGGGTTGATCCTCTCATTAAACCGGGAAAATAAAGAGGAATAGAAGTGGTTGCGTGAGAAACAAACTCAAGCTTCGGGTTGGCTACGGAATCCGCCAGGCAGGCCGACTGGCGGAGGGAAAGGAGCGGGGTGGGCATGGGCAGCCCTACCCACTTTAGACAGGCTGGAGCCCAAAAAGCAATTTCCAAGTATTGCTAAACCATGAGAGCCTGTCAAACGCAACTGGAAACAATGAAAGCGCCCCTCCAAACATGCGAGTGCCTTCAAGAGGTCCAACCTCCCAAAACTCCGAAGGATCTCCTTGTTCATGTTTTGTGCGGCTACATCCGCAAAACATGTGTTTGCGTTTAGACAATCTTCACCAGTCCAAAGTTCAGTCCGAAAAAGTCTCATTCCGCGCCGAACCTCGGCTCGCTCGGTTGTCTGGTTCGGGCATCCGCGCTTGTCCGGAAACCCCAGCGGGGAGAGCATGAACTCCTTGGGGATGGACCTGAGCTACGGATGTTCGAATTCAGGGATCCATTTTTGGATTCCAAGGAAGACCAGGTATTCGAGGGCTCAAACTGCTTGCACTGGAGTCCGTGTCAGGGTCCATTTGTTGATTACCCCAAGGTAGGTGTCAACACAGGGGCTGCGAACAACGGCCGCTTCGAATGTCTCATGTTTTTGCCGCATCCATAATTTTAAAAAAAAAAATGAGGAACCACCAGGTCTTGATCTTGACATATTCGCCGCGCGGCCAAGCGGCAATTGGCCTAAAGCTTTTTGAGCGGGCGACGCATCTGAGCTTGGTACCCAAAACACATGGTGTATGGATTTGGATCTCCGAGCCTCCACACATAAACAGCAAAGACCATTGACCAGATCTTTTGTATCACGAGACCAAGCCCCTGGCATGCGGGGCTTGATCATGGTGGTGTCGAGCCGGAAGCCTTTCGCCTCAATTCATATGGGGACTGCAACCCAAATTGCCCTGCCAAAAAACACAGCTCAAAGAGGGTTACCTCTAGAGGAAATTGCCCACTTTTGGCAGGGGAAAGCGCCCACCAGCACTTCCGAAAAGGAAAAAAACGCTTAGAGCGGCAGGACTGAAAACCCCACAAAAGAATGGTTTAGCGGTTCGTTTTGGTGTCTCCAAGGGAAACACGCGAAATCCACCACAAGAAAT